GCAGAAAAGCATTTGATCTTTTTTATAGTTAATAAAGTAATCATTTTAAAAAATCATCATATATAATAAATGATAATTTATAAAAAAAAATTAAACATGATTTTTATACAGTTAATAAATGTGATTATAATAATGAATTTAATAAAATAAAAATCATATTGTTAATTGATTAGACACATTATTTACACACTTTATCCATATATTTAGGATTTATTTTGCATGATATATTCTCTAAGTGGTGAATTTGTGCACTAAGGGTATTTTAATCTAAATTTACACTTTTTATAAAAAATTATGTCTTTGTTGGATTAAATGTCATTTTTGTTTAGATCTATAAGAGTCCAATTGGTTTTTCAAAAATTCATTTTGGTTTGGTAAATATTGCATAAAAGTCACATTTTAGGATTGTTGACTTGGTTGATCTAGTTTGGACTTTGAATGTGCATGTATGTGTTTACATTGTGCTTCTTATGTAGCATTGCTCTTGAATTTCATTTATAAATATTCTCTCATTTAAATAATTAAGTCCTTGTGCAAAAATATAATTTATTTTGTCATACATATATTATTGGATTAAATCAAAAGTTATTTTGTGACTTAGATGAACAAGTGCACTTAGACTTGTGTCAATTGGGCTAAATGCAAGCAATGAAAGCTTTTGGTTCTGAGTTAGGCTTGCAAGGCCTTGCAAGAAGAGGAGAGGGAGTTGCAAAATTTAAAATGTTAAGCATGTGGCACCATATCACTCAAATCTCTCAATTAAAAAACTCCTATTCTTTCCTTAATCTTTATTTTGACTTTGTGATTTGAAAATCAGATTTGTAGCCAACAAAATCACTTTGAAAGCAGGTCATATGCCTCCCTTCTAATTTGAACCTAATCCTCTTTGTGTCCAAGTTTATTTTAGGCTTGATTTACACACATAATTTCAACCAACTCATACAGGTATCACTCATCAATCACACAATTATCTATACTAATTAAAGGGTAGTGTAATTTCATCCATAACTCATTCCATTCACTCATTTTTCTTCATCCTCTCATCTCTTCTCTTCCATCTCTCTTCACAAATTTTGTCCATCAGCTCCATTACACCAAACAAACGAATACACACAACCTTAATCTCCATTCATTCATCCATTTATTCATCTAAGGTTTTCATCACCAATGGTAGTTGAGTTTTAGTTCGGAAGAAAAGATCTTCCATAAAGTTGAAGGCTAAGAGGCTTGTGGATCTTAGAGGAGGAGGAAGAGGATAAGGTCGAACACTTAACATTTCTTTAATTTTTAATTACTCTACTCTAGTTTTCTTCAATGTCTTGATATTATAAGGTCATAATTTTGGATTATTTCATCATGTATTTGAGCTATAATTTTGGTTCATGTGTGTTTATTGTTGAGAACTTGGTAATTTGATTATGTTTTTGTATTTGGTACTTTCTTACATTAGTGGATGTTATCATAACTTTGAGATTTCATTAGTGTCTCATCTTACATTTTCACATCATAATCTTGAGTGGTTGATGCTTGATTTCTTATTTTCTTACCATAATCTTGAGAGTTTACATACTTTTTGGGAAGGGCCAAATCACTTATGCATAATTCACATTATAGTTGGTCAATGCTTAAAACTAATCTAATAAATTGAATAAAGGGCCATACTCTAAGACTTAAGAAGGTTTGTTGGGAAGGTTAAGAGGTTAGAAATAATTTTCCTAGATTTCTTCATTTTAGGCTAAGAGGGCAAAGTAATCTAAAGCCAACTTAATTAATTTTTAAGCCAATGACTCACTCACTATTCTAACTCTAAAATCATATCACTCCATAAGAAACCACCAAAAGCACTTTAATTTAGTTTTAAAGCTTTTTTTTTAATTTTTTAAAAATTAAATTAAAATCAATCGACCCTCTAAATAGTTTAATTAACATTGATTAGCTTTAATTAATCATGGTAAGTCTTGTCAAAAAAATCAACCTATGTTTGATCATTATTTATATAGTGTGAAACTTAGCACTATTTTAAAAGTTAATGGCAAACTTTTTCCATTAATCAAAATTGGTATTCTTAAAACGGATAAGATAATTACTCTCAAGGTTTGGAAGTGTGGGGGTTCTTGCTGTGCTCTAAATATAAAAAGAAGGCAGTGAAATATATATTATTATTTTTTATCTTTAATAATTGCTTCCGATATTATCTTATCTTAAAATGAAATTGACATATTATTATTTTTTATAAAAAAATCTATTTGATTTAGATTTCAAAAGTTTAATTATGCCAATATCCAACATCAATTTTTATCTAATAAATTAAAATTTCACCTATTTAAACCCTTAGAAACTAAAATGCAATCCAACATGTAAACTTTATCTAAAAATGTAATTGACAACTTTATCTTTATAGAATACTTGATTTATTATATTAATTTCAAATCTTATAAATATGTTTTTTTATTATATTAATTATCCGTTTTCATTTACTCGAAATGTATGTGGCATGTATCCCCAAAGGTAATATAAGGCAACCGTGTCGCTAAGTTATTATATAAGCAACTTTTTTGTTTTATTAGTTGGCAAAAAAAAAAGTCATCTATACAAATTAATTTTTAAATCTTTTAAAGAAGATGTTTACAATTTTTTTTTAAATTTAAATTATTTTTTTGTGATTTTTAAGCTTAAACTTTGGTTATACCTCTTTAAACAAGTAGCTTAATCCTAAATTATTTTTGGACTTAAATGACTTCAGCCCAATTTCACCGCTCTACATGGAGTCAGATGCTATGGGTTTGGAAATATGGATATGCATGGATATTATTGACTTGGTAAGTTATATAAAATCATCAAGAAGCATTTGGTTTAATTACTTGAGAGAGATGAATCAATAAATCTTAGAATCTCAAGTTTAAGTCTTAAAATATGTAATTATGTTTAGTAAAACTGATAAAAATATCTCTAAGACTCGTACTCATGAAATCACCATTGATAATAACGATCCTGCACCACTAGGTTTTGGATTAGTATAAGCATATGGTGATAATACTCCTAGTTTTTCAAAAATACCAAGCAATAGAATAAAAAAAAATTGCATGAAGCCCATGGCAATTACTAATTGGGTGTCATGGGATGATGATTGGACTGGACTATGACTTTAATGGTGTAGCATCTGGGTTTGCTTCCAATTGTGACTTGACACTTCTGTTTGTTCCTTTTCCTCACAAGCTTCATTGATAAGTGATGAGTTCAAACTTGTGATATCATCCTTGCGTCACTTTGTGGCATGATAAAAAATTGGGGTGGTTCTGAATAACGCAGGCCAAATTGATACTCAAAACGTATGAGACTATATATATATCTATATATATATATATATATATGTATGTATGTATGTATGTATATCAGTCATCTTAAGAAGGAGAAGCCTTATTTGATAGGCAAGGCCAAAACTTAGCAAAAGCTTGTTGATTACTCGAAAGATGAATTTGGAAAAATGCGAGGACTCCATTGTTACGTTCTGTTAACATCTGTATTTGTCAAAACCCCACTCTATTGTCAAGAATTTTTCTTCATTGTCTTTCTTTGATGATGTTTTGAAACTCATGTTTGGAAACAGGTACAAAGGGAATACCAGCTTTGACAACGCGCGAGTTTGAGAAATTGAAACCAAATATAATACAAGTAGTTGATGACATGCTCTGTTATATTATGACATTCCAGAACTCTTGAAGGCTTTTAGAAATTCCTATGACTAAGTTTGAGAGCTACTCGATCGAACTAGTACAACAAATATGAGATCGGACAGATTCTGACATTATAGCATACACACACAACATGCGGCTTATTTACTATACTATGCCATGTTTGGTATCATTTTGTATAACATGATGTATTTGCATTTTAATAAGATCTTTTGCTTGGTGATATATGATATAACATTATCGTACGCGGTGACGGGAGTGATAGTTAATGGCAATGGTTGCCAACAATAGCAATGATGATGATGGCGGCATTAGTGGGTATGTAATAATAATAGTGGTGACAACCGACAATGATGATAAATGATGGTAATCAATAATGATAGATATAATGGTAAATATGGTGATAGTGATGATGGCTAATTGGTGATGAGAGATGGGAGAAAGCTAATGGAGGTAGTTATAATGACAATCATTAATAGTGATAGTAATTGATAACAGTGATAGTCAATTGTATTAATTGTTGTGTGTGATGAGATAGTTAGTTTGAATAATAAAATTAAAGCATTATACAACAAAATTTTGTCAATTCTTATGTGGATTCAAAGGTCATATAGAATTTTCCATCATTTTAATGCATAAGAGCTGTGTACGGGCAAAAATTTAGATGGGAGCAGCGCCCTGTCATTCTACACCGTCTTATTGTGCGATCTCCTTGCACAAAATGAAAGAAATAAAATGTATGTTCCGTTAATTAATATTTGCCTTCTTTGAAAAAATAAATAAATAAAATTGATTATTTATAATTTATAAATAATACAATTTATTATATATTATTTATTTTATTAAATCATTTATTTATTATTTTATTAAATAAGGATCCGTGCATGGTGGGAAATCTAAAATAGCAGGAGAAGCAAGCAGGCTAGAATGAATAATATGAATTACTAGCAGTTTGTAAAATTCGATAATATTGATTATTGATTAATATTTTATTTTGAATAAATAGCAGACAATTTTAAAATATATAATTTTTTATTTGTAATATTTCTTATTGTCACAACAAATGAATGATAGAAAAATATATATTTTAACTGTTTAAAAAAGATATATTTTCTTATTAATTTATAAAAAAATTATTTCTAAGGACCGCTTAAAAAAATTATTTATAAAATAATTAATAATAAATTTTATTAAAAAACATAACTTACTATTTTATATTTTTATAACAATTAATTTGTGTTATCCTTGTACATGATTCTCTCTAGTTTTTATGTAGTGTGACCTGTTGTAATGACTTAGAAGATCATTAAACGGTGCGTTTAAAATGACCCAATTCGACCTCCAAAATCCAAATCGCCCTGCAAGCAGAGAATCGAAGGGGTTCGGACTTGGGACTGGAAGCATCCTTGCACATCAATAGAGGCTAAGAACTGGCGTTTCTCTGCCGGTGAGGATACTCTTATATTGACTATTAGTTTCTTCTTTGCCTGCGGATTATACTGGATGCTTCGCTTACTTCTTGCGTTGCATATTAATATTTGAATTCGTTATGAGTAATATTAATATCGTTCCTTTTTTTGCACTTTGTATTATATTTTTTAGTTATGAGAAGTGTTGAGTTTACTTGTGAATTTAAAAACCACCTTCTCTGCTCTCCTGTCGCGATGGAACCTCGAGCAAGAGCCGCCTCTGTGGTAGAATTTGCGTGCGATACGCTTTTATGAATCTGCTGTTTGCTTACTTTGATCCAGCAGTCTAGTAATGTTACTGAATGGCTGTCTCCATGGGAATTTCAGGTTTTGAGTGATTTGTGGTTACAGAAGAATGCTTCCGCAGCGGATGAAGAAGACCATCACTGATAATCCAAAGAAGCTAGCCAATTTGATTGACCTTGTAAATCTTCCCTCAACACTTCGAGAGTTTGTGGGTCAGTCTCAAATTTCTCGGTTAGGCTGTTTTATCCGGGTTTGGTCCTACATCAAAACGAATAATCTCCAGGTTTCATTTTCTCTCTCGTCTTCTTGATTTGCATTATTACATTTGGTGAACTCATTTTCTATTAGACTTAAACTTCGTTTTTCCTTCAAAAGATAAAGCAGTGTTGATATGCTCTCTCGATTTTATTCAAAAATCGATTTAACACTCAAAATTCAAAATTTGTTCTAATTTCAAAAATAGGCACTATGGTGTTACTATATGATCTTTTGGGGATCGAATATTCTATGCAGTTGTAAGAAAATTGAAATTTTGAATGCTAAAGAGATGCAAAAAAAAACTTTTTTGATTGAGCCAGTAGATATTGTGGTTAAATTTAGAGGGTCCAAAATGGGGTTTAGTCTTTTCAGAAACATCATCTTCTTTGATACACGTTATCAATATATATATATATATATATTTATCTTCATAAAATGTCATTTCGAGTTTGAGGTATGGTTGGATGCTGAAGTTACTTAAAATGCAGATTCTCCATCTGTTATTGATCACAGAAGCGTAAGACGTTCTTCCTTAAATGAGAAGTTTAAGTGTGTAAAGTTGTAGATCTGAATCCGGGGTTTCATGAAAAATACCCTGGTTTTGCTTTTAAACTTTGAATCGAATTTAATATTGCATCTTTTTTAAAAAAAAATGGTGGACAACAAATAAAAGGTAGTAGAGAGAAATAATGAAATATTGGAGCGACATTCTTCTGCTGTTTGTAATTAAGAAACTAAGAGGGTTTCATCCAAAAAAAAAAAAAGACTCTGAGAGTTGGAAAGCTTATTACTGATCTGATAGTGTTATCATGTTCATGAGCAAGTGTTCTAGCATATCTATGTTAAACTTGAGAGGTCACTTGTATATTACCTGTTTCATTTCTATGGCTTGTTTCATTTCTATGTCTTGTTTGACCCATAGGTGTTGATGAAAGATCACTCAGAAATTGAGTAAATTTCTTCTGACATATTTAAACTTACATGATCCAATTTTTTCAACTTACTAGCCTGGATTTTTTTTTTTTAAATGAAAGTTATGCATGTACAATGTGTAGCATACAGCATTATTTATGTTGAGCTCTGAGTCACGTGTTGGGTATTTTTAATTTTTATTCATATTTATCTTCACTAGAAGTGACTAAATTAGGAGTTGTTACTTTAATTTTGTAGGATGCAAACAATAAGAATGTGGTGAACTGTGATGAAAAGTTGAAGAGTATTCTGTCGGGAAGATCTCAAGTTGAGTTGGCAGAACTTCCTGAACTGATCAAGCTGCATTTTCCAAAAGCACCCAAGTAAATGTATGATATCAATCACCTTGTCTGCCTATTTAGAAAGCAGCCTCTTGCGCAAGATGAGAATCCAAATTAGTTTATATTTTACTATTTGCATGCTATCTTTATCTTTTAGAACATGATGGAGCAGATGTTTGATCCCAAAATTTCTTGCTAACTATTCACATTGCTTACCACCAGACTAAACTTAGAGGCTGAATGGATTGTAGAGTTGAAAGGAATTAAAAAAAAAAATGAATTGAGAAACATAATGTCGTCAACAAGAAACTGCTTCTGTTCACCTATTTTTTTACAGGGAAGAATAAGTTCTTGACTTCTTGACAATGGAAGGGATTGAAAAAAAATCCAACTATTGTTTGTATGCTTCAAACTTCAAAGGTCCTATTCAAACTTCCATTTCCTATCTTGACAATGGAAGGGATTGAACAAAAAATCCAACTATTGTTTGTATGCTTCACTTCAAAGGTGCTATTCGAGCTTCCATTTCCTATCTCACAACACACCCAAATTACTAGATTCCTCCAACTTGTGGTCTTGGAAAGGCGTGACTCCCGTTTTAGTAGTTTTGTTTCACGTTTGTAATAATTTATTTCATTTAACCATCATTTCCCAACCGCCACCGACTGATTAGTCACATATTTCATTCTCCATAAAGCTTTTAAATAAGCCTCAACCCCTCAAGCCTTTTGACCATCTTCATTCTACGAAAAAACAAGCTTTTTTACTTTTTATTCCTCTAGCGTCTTGAGTTAATTCGCTTATCTATTTTTCTACTGGTTGTCATTATTATTTCATATCTTTAAGTATACTATTTTTTTTCTATATATATTAGTAGCATGATTGTTCATGACATAGAAAGCATGATATTTATTAATATGTATATATGTATGAATCAAATTGGGGAACTAGGTCTTGGCCAAAAAAAAAAAAAAAATTGGGGAACTAGGTAGATGATAAATTAAGTTCTCATTTTTTTGAAGTTGATATTGAAAAAAATGGAGATAAAGTTATACTTGGGTATGTGATTACTGAAATACCGGTTAAAAAACTACAACCAAAATAAGCTCTAATTTTATCACATATACAACAAGTGTTTATGGACAATGCCTATACTATGGTAATTATTGAAATTGAAGTAGATAATTATGAAACAAATGATCAGCAATAATGGCATTAGTCCTGTGGGTGAGATGGAAGGCATCCCAGAATGCATATTTATGAGCGTCTGTACAAGTGAATGGATTAAACTTATCACACAGGTAACTCATCTCAAATAATCCTGTCCCACAACATGCTGTTGCCACATTTTCCAATCCTGCATTATTTATACAAAAATCATAATATAATAGTCTTGTGACAAAATTTAAGGCATCATTTTGTAAGTATGGAATTATGGGAGTGTTTTGTTTTGTTTTGTATTTTTTTAATTTTTAATAATAAAAAAAGAATTCATGCAAGTCAAATATAAAATAACAAGTAAATCAGAATATTATAACTGAAACAACATGCCAGAACATGCTCATACTGTTTTGATTTGGTCTGAGCTTATAAGTCCACATCTACTATTATGAATATTTCAGTTATTGGAAACCTGATGAATCTAGTCTAACAGCTTTTGTATCAAACAAATTCTGCATATCGGTTTTTGAATAATTTTTTTTTAATATAGTTAGCTTTTAGGCCACACGCAAGTGCAATAAGTAAACTGCATGAGTCATTGTTTGTAAACAATGTGGCTCATTAGATATTTTTGTTATTGAAATGTAAGAAATTTTATAAATAAATATATTTATCCTTTATACTACTGAATTTATGTAAAAATGATCGATAATCTAGTTTCAATTAAATATCAAACTCATCAATATAAACAAAATTTAAAGTTTATATCAAATTGAAATATTGACAAACCATAGTAATGTAACTTATTTCTCAATTTTTGTAGAAGATTTCATGTTATTTTCTACCAAAGCACGTAATATCGCATTTGCTTTGGAACCCAGATGTGTAGATTACCATCTCAGTTTCTTCTAAAATAATCATATTCGTTTGAATCTCCATATGCCATTTTCTCCCAAATTGAATCTTTTCCTCAACCAATTACTCAAACATCAATACACCACAATACAATGGTTAACAAACAATTACATATAAGAAGTGAAAATTAAGATCAGTAAGTGCAATTCTCTTCAAGTGTATGCTATTGCGGTTAAGTGAATCAAAGATCACACCCAATTCAAACAAAGAAAAATTACAAATCATATATTGATTCAATCATATTTCTAAGTCATGTTTAATAAATTTCTTCATAATCAAATAAAACTTTAAAACTTATTAACTTTATCTAAAAATTTTAAAACATTTTAACTTTATTCCTATTAAATATATATACTTTGACAATATATTTCTCTCTCCAACATTTAATAAAGGGTAAAAAAAGTAACTTTTAATAAAAATTTAATAATTTGATTTATAAATAGGATTTAAAACAGTGTTGTTTCTATGCCTTATAAATAGGATAGGAGGGAGTATATTTATATAATGAGAAGCTTCCTTACCAAAAGAGTCAGGATTCTGGATGATGTCCCACAAGATATCATAAGGATTTGAAAAGACAAACTGAATCCCAGGGAGGTTCTGGTTCATCTCCAACACCAAATCTTGTAACTTGTGATTGAAATCTCTTGCCACATCATTGTACTCCTTCACACACTCACTCCCAAACATGAAATTTCTGGTTCTCTCAAGAGGCAGACACCCCATTGGAGGAAGCCCGGCTATGGATACCTTCCTTGCTCCTACCTCATAAAGTTCTGCTATGAAACTCTCTGCAATTCCCAGCAAGAATTTCTGGTACTCTTCAATGGAGTACTCTGATGACCTCTTGGGAAGTAAGTAATAGTTCTCCAGAAAATCATTGGTCCCTATGCTGATTAGATACAGTGATTCTCTTATAACCTCCTTTGCCTTCTCCTCTCCAGCATAGTCCTTTAGCTCCTTCTGAAACCCCTTGTAGTATTCTAGTTCCTTCCATAGAGGTATCACTGACTGAAAACATTGGTGAATGTATATAATACATTTAGAATATATAAAGATTAACGAATGTAAACTTGAGCCTACCCATGATAATTATTTTCGATTCATTCTCTCCGAGAATTAAATAAATATCTTTTGGTACGCGTGGAAGTGTTAGAAATAACAATTTAGCTTATGTAAATATGTATATACATTAACTAAACTGGTGCATATACTATCAGTGTGTGCTTGGTTTCACGTAAAAACTATTAAAATCATTTAGATGTGAATTAATATTGATTAACTAGATCACTGTATTTATTTAAATTTTAACAATTTCTTTTGATATTCTCTTAATCATAAAAAATACTTAATTAAATGTTTTTCTTATGGACATGGAGTATTTTTAAGATGCGAAATTATGTTGTATATCTTTATGCATGGACTATCAACTAGACGGAATCCGAAATTTGAAAAATTGTGTATATTATCTTCTCCAAGAAAAAATAATGCAATTTCATTTATATTATGTACTCTCCCATTTAGTAATTTTAAATGATATTAACAAACTTATCGAGAGTGTAAATTAATTAAAAATAATTTATAATGTTAAAAATACCTTATATTAACTTGCAGTAATTAGTTATAAGTACGATATTGCTAAATGATGATATTTATTTATTTTTTTTTTGGTGGAAAGTAGTTGAAACTCCTTTAATGAATTAATGATCATGATTAATGATACTTACAAGGACATCGGAGGTAGCATTATCAAAGCCGGTTCCGGCGGAAGCAAAGCACACGCCGGTGGCAAAATCGGAGACGTTGAACTTAGGATCCAAATACGCAGGAATGACCGGCTTTATCCCAAATGCCTCGGAGATGAAGTCCGTTGGAAGACGGCCGTTGCAGAAACGGCCCGTCGGTTCGGCGCCGTAAAAATCTCGACCGTACGGTTCGAAGTTGCTCTTCACAATCGTCGGTATGTAATTGTTGTTCCCCGCATCCACCGACGAGTCTCCGAACACTATAATCGCCGGAACCTTGGCAGATGTGATGATAGACACCACAATTCCCAGTATAACATGAACTATGAGAATACTATCAATGGCTAATTTGCAATTGCAAGCCATTTACCTCTTCGTCTTCGTCGTAGTCGTCCCCGTCGTCTTCTTGTTCTTGATCTTTTTCCTATGTGATCAACAATATTCTTTGTAAATATCAGACTTCAGGTCGTTGTTGGAAATGGAAATTAATGGAGTCCTCGGACTGATTTTGATTCTTTTGATATCAATGAGAGTGTTTTGATGTGTTTGTTAGTTACAAAAGGCGCATTTGAGTCCCATTTACGCAAATTCGTGGTATAAATTATATCAAGTTGGTCATAAATAATGCAATGTTATGCCGTTAAAGTTTGAACCGTTACACACACGTTTACACTATTATCTCCAACAAGTTAATTATATTTGGAGATTAATCATGTACGATTGATATATATCTTAGGATCATGTATTCGGAGAAGCCGACATTTATGTCAATGGGCTCCTGCGATATGCTTATCAAATGCAAAATGATGCGAAGATATCATGTTAGAATCATAAACTAGCATGCGATATTCTTTGATCTTGCAGATCCTATTGTTTTAACTATTGGGTTTTTGCCTTCCATTTTACTAATAATGAAAAAGTTATATTAAACTATCTAATAGCTTATATTATACTTTTTTTATTTCAAATTATAAGACACTTTTAAAGAAAATTCAGTGTCCCAAAATATAAGACACTTTGACAAAAATAAAATTTTATTAATGATACTTTTTCAATGTTACTCTTATCATATATTCTCTTTTTTCAATGTTCTTTTATTAATGAAGTATTAAATAAAGGACATTTTTAAAAGTTTATATTTTTATATTGAAAAAATAAGATTGTAAAATATATTTAATGAGTTTTATTGATGTATAAAATTTTTATCTAAAAAGTTTCTTATAATTTGTGATGGAGGGAGAACTTAATTATGAGGAGTTGGAATATATGTGTATGCAAAAAGGAAAAAAAAAAATTGAAAGAGCTTTCTTGATTCAAGCAGCAAAGCTCGATGATCGGTCTAGTCATGAACTGATGAGGGATATTCATGCATGCTCGTTGATGAGAATTAATAATCATGCTAAGTGTGTGTATTTGATTTGAACCGTTTAAATCAAACTTTAACAATTTAAATTTTATTGCAGCTTTTTCGTAATTTTTTTACTGTAGCTTGACATTAAAATGGTTTAATTAATTTTTTAAAAAATTGAATTTTTTAATTTAGTCAATTTAAAAAAAATATATGTATCTCCTCCACATTCTTAAAGATTTAAAGAAAATTCTGGTTGCAGAAGAAAAATAATGAACCAATGAATAATGGCATTGGCAAGAGACAAATATAAAAGGTTTCTTGTCACAAAACGTGGTTATGCGGCAAAACGGCGCAAATAGTTCACGAAGGCCATCACGGGAAAGTTGACGTTACAGGTTGCATGGAGTCACAAATAAAATATGACTCACCTATTCCACTGTTGGTTTTAGCTTATAATATTTCAATAATCCTTTATTACAATATTAAGAACATCTTTTTTACGGCAAAAAATTGCTCTCAAAATTACTATTAGTATATTCTGAAATAGACTAATCAAAAGTTAAAAAGAATATAAAATGATAAATAAAATAGGGAGATTGATAATACAACCGAAAATTCATCTATACATAAGTGAATCAATCAATCTATAGTGATGCATTGATGAACTTTCAGTTATTTTCGAACCTCAATACTATTTTGTCTTTCCTCTGAAGGCCCTCACATTCTCCCAATAAAACAAAAGATTGTACATGTGTTGATGATTATTGTTCCTAGATTCACGCCCAATGGGTCTAATAATGGAGGATTTAGATCAAAGGACAATACTTATATAATTATCCTTATATGCTTAATATATTTTTATTCAATTAAATCAAGACATATGAATTTTAATTTGTTAATAATATTAATAACAAAATTTATTATAAAATAAATAATCTGTGATAGATACACATGTATTAGTTTAATTGAAAATAAGCACATTTAATATATAAGATTAAGTATATAATTTTTTTTCTAAATTTAATGAGTGGTACAAATTCATTCATTCAATAAATCTCCTGTGTGATGTGATAATAACTATTTAAGTTATAAATTGAATGGATGTAAAAGATTTTATCATGTGACATTTGAAAAGCATCAAAACTCAAATTTTTGGAGGGAAACAATGTGCATGAGGTGTGCTCAGTTCATTAGAGTTGTTTTGAATTTTTTGAAAAAAATAAATCTTAATAATTTTTAAGTGTTGATAAAATCTCATAAATGTAATTAAAATACTCATTAAGCGAGTGAATTTAAGTCACTCGCAGGATTTAAATATGATAATAGATTGTGCCCATTGTTAAGCTCATCTACAAAGTAACTTTTGTTAGGTTGGCTTGAAAATGAGAATAAGATCGAAAACGAGAATGAGAATTATCTTTAATTAAATAAATCGCTGTCCATTCAATGATTAGATTTGGATATTTGACATGTATATTAAAGGGATGAGAATGTCTTTTCGATATCTAATTCGATGAAAAAATGTTGTAATAACAAAAAAATCCAACAAATAATTATAACATCCTTCAAATCAAATATTTTTATTATATTTACTTCTGATTTTGAAAAATTGTACGGTTTAGTTAGTTAAAGATTAAACATTTATTTGTGTTGTAAATTAAAAAATACTTGTAATATTAATAATAGAAAAATATTCATTAAGTCGGGCATTTTTTTCTAAGTTTTATTTATTTCTTTTTTTCCCCCCCTTGGTAACAAGGGGACAAACAGAAACAAGACAACATACTAATGTTTTGTACCAGGATTACATCTAAGCCAAAAGGAAGGGAAGACAGGATGAAAATCAAAACACAAGAAAGAGTCATCTTGACAAGCATATTAGTAACTTCATTTGCATTTCTCAAAATTTCTTACTTTGCACCACCCATTCTCGAACCAAAAGTGCTCGAATTTCAATGATAATTCCAGCACTTGAGTGTTCAAGGGGTGTGTCATCATGTATTGCATCGATCACCTCCAAATAGTCACATTTCATGATAATCTTCCTATAGCCAATATCTAAAACTAATTTAAGACCCCATATACAAGCCCACAATTCAACACAAAGTGGGTCATCATCATTCATCTTATAAAGAAATGCTGCTCTAAATTCTCCTGTGGAGTCACAAATCAGCATACCACATCTAGAACTACTATTAAGTTGGAGAAAGTATCATTCACATTAAGTTCTAGCCAATCATCTGATGATGGATTCTAGCCCCATCAAGAATAGGTCCATCTTGTTTCTCCATATTGCATCCTTCAACTTACTATGGTACTCCATAAAAGTAGCTAAGATGTGAGTGTTCTTGTCAAGATTTATTTCATTCCATGAACATATTAGGAATCCGTTATGGAATCTTCATCAGTGCGATGGTCCCTTCCTCTTTTTTTCTAATTTTTTAAAAATTATTTTGTTCCTATGTTCAATATGATTACACCAAATTTAGGTATTATTAAATCCAAATAGAAATATTTTTTCAATGTGATTTTTCAGTGATTTTTTTGTTGGTATGATTTTGTCCATAAACAATTAAACACTGTCGGTTACTCAGTTTAGTCCCTTTCCCATTGTGTGGGTTTCTTTCAAGTAACACATTATATTGGGCCTGATTGGAATAAAATAATTGGGCCTAGGTTAGTGGCAGTTGAAATTATTCTTGGTATGATTGATACTCCCTCAATTTAAAAATATAAAATATTTTTTAAAAAAAGTTATATGTTAAAAAATATAAAATATTTTTAATTTTTTAAGGTATAATTATTATCTTTTTTTAAAGTATCCCTATTAATAATAATTTTATATTTATTGTAAAGTGTTTAATAAGGATAACTATGAAAAGATAAGATTGGTTGGAAAATAGATAACTATTTTATTAGAGGATGAGATTCGATTAAAAATGTCTTATATTTTTTAATAGAGAAAGTATAAAATTTTCACGATTGGTACTTTACCCGGGAAAGAAAAAGTTTTTATTCCTTGTGTTCTCCCATCTCCATTTCTCAACTATCCAAATTAAGTCCAAAAAAAAAAAAAGAGTAAAAAACTTTATAGACGTTTGCAAAACTATTATGACTTGTGAAAGAAGATCATACCAAAAATAAAAAAAACACTGTTGAAAAAAAAAACTACATATTCTTTAAGCTGATTAGTAAATTTGGCCAAAAGACCAAAAAGTTTATTAGTAAATAATTCCACTTAATTTATTAATTTATGCCGATCATAAAATAAGCCACACTATTTATTACTGGTGAGTTATGTAATTTCCAATTTTCCATCAATTTTTTATTTTAAATTAATTAAGAATTAATTAGAAAAATCTGAAGCTTCTAAAAATGCCACTGTCGTCATCGTTTAACGCCTAAACGACAGGGGCAATCTCAAAACCCCTAAAATTCTCAAGCCGTATTAGATTTTCGTTCTCTCAAGCATCTCGTCCTTTCTCTTGTTTCTTCGCTGGTCTGAGAACTGAGAATAGCTTCCTGCCTTTGTCTAAACTGAATCCCATTTGCAACTTTTTTTAAGCTCAAGCAGTTCCATTTCCTCATCGTCTTCTTCTTAAGCGATGTTCCTCTCTAGGGTTTTCTCTCGAGTTTCCAGGAGTGTCTCCCGAAGCTCCCCGATTTTCTCTGCTTGGGAAAGGCCTCAAAACTTGTCTACCCTCTCCAGTCAGTTTCATTCCCTTCTTCTTCCATCTCCCAATGCGGTATGTTGCTAGAATCAATGGAAAAAGTTTTTTTTACCCAATTCTGTATCGCAGGGTTTTGCTAGGGTTTTAGGAATAAATGTTGAACGGGCTATATTTCAACCGCGATTCTCATTTTTTGAATTTGCTTTACTGTTTTGTCTTTGACTATGCACTGGTTATGAAGAAGGGTTGAGTTTTCGATTTTTTTTTTTATTTGGGTGATGGTATCTTAGATTAGGATTCTAGCTCTAAAACACGATATATTTGATTATAAGATTAGGCCTTTTGAGGTTCGTAGAATATCGGGTTTTTACTTCTTAAGGAGTCCATGATCAGGCATGCAACATGTTTGTCATCTGTTTCAGTGTATTTTCTATTTCTCACTTATGTTCGATTGCGTTGATATTTTTTTTTAATTTCTTATTTTTTTTATAGAGCTAGATAATGAATATTTTGTTGTCTAATTTTGGTTGCTGTGCTGGAAAGACTTTATTTTGACACTTAAATGGTTAGTCTTCGAATCCAAATGCAACAAGCCGTCCTTGACCTCGTTATCTTATAACTTCGATTATTTGAATTAATCTTTTGCTAGTGGCTTAAACTGGATTTTGTAGCTGAAGGGGCTATTGCCAATAGGACTTCCGCATCTCGTGCATTTCTTTTGTAAATAACACTATGAGAGTTAATTGCACAGTGATCAATATTCTTCAGCATCCAATTCTTTCACTTATAAATCTTCATCTTCTAATGTGTTAGTAAAATTCTCATTTAATTCCCTGTATGTTTTATAAAATTTCAGCGGATTCCAGTTCAAGTCAATTCATTGTGGCCACCCATAAAAGCATCATCTACTCCAAGATGTGGATTTTTTCATCTGCATCTCCTGAACCCAATGAAAAGGAACAGGGTAATGCGAGTGCTGATCCTGGAAAAACTAGTGATGAAGCAAATTAAGTGATCAGGCTGAAAATTCCGAAGCTGCAAACCAAACCAAAGAATCAGGTTTTGTCTCTGAATCTCAGTCTGAGTCTGGCAAAAGGAGGAGAGCTACTAAACGAAACTGCATTTTCTGATTCAGATTCAGATTCAGAGAGTGAATGTGATTTATCCAGGGATGATTTAATAAAGCTTGTTGCTGAGAAAGAACAGCTCTTGAAGTTGAAGCACAAAGAGATTGAGAAAATGCAGGATAAGGTTCTACGTACTTATGCAGAGATGGAAAATGTAATGGACAGGACAAGGCGTGAAGCGGAGGAATTCAAAAAAATTTGCTGTCCAGGTTTGTTGTTGTATTCTTTTTTCTCTCTTGTCTTTATTCTATATCATGCTCCCAGATTATTTCCTTTTCAAGTTTGTGCTAACTCATGTCTAATGTACTGTAGAATTTTGCAAAGAGTCTACTAGATGTTGCAGACAATTTGGGGAGAGCTTCCTCAGTCGTAAAGGAAAGTTTTTCAAAAATTGATACATTTAAAGACGCTTCTGGTGCAGTGCCAATCCTTAAAACACTTCTGGAAGGTGTTGAAATGACTGATAAACAGCTAGCTGAGGTAGGAAGCTCTCTTTATGTAGTGTCTCTGCGGCTGTTAGTTGTGCAAATCAAAACTTATCCAGTATCCATATTGTTTAAGTAATTTATATTCTTAAACTATTTGATTTCATTTAATTCCCTGGCTAAAGTATCTCTCTTTAAGAAATCCTTTTAAATTCCAATTTTTATTATGAGCTTTTGCAACTTGTGTTTTGCATCTATGGGAGTTCGAAATATTGTGCTTTGCAGTAAAAGTTCTTCATGGGCTCACTCTTTGCTGTTGACAACTGATTCTGTTTTCAGGTACTGAGAAAGTTTGGTGTAGAAAAATTTGACCCTGCGACTGAAACCATTTGATCCACACAGGCATAATGCTGTCTTCCAAATCCCTGATGGCACCAAACCTCCAGGCACTGTTGCAGCCGTTCTGAAGGTAATATACATGCCTGTCTTAGGAAGGACAGCAGTTTGTTTTTGAATACAAAATTTTTTTTGACCACCTAAACTTTTAACTTGTATTTTCATGTCTAAAATGTCTGGGTTGACTTCTATATGTGTCAAAAAGTGTTGCTACATTGATAGGCTTTTTCTTTGCTTCGTTATTGTTTGTTGATAGGTGTTTGCATTTTAAATTCTTTTTTCCCCTGAGGTGTTTCTTCTCCCTTAAGCTAGGATAAGTATGGTCTATTTCTTGGTTATGTTCTGTATTCCTTCAGGTGATGAGAACGTGATGAATAAACTCTCCTATGGCATGTCTGCGGGCAGGATATGCTTAAGATTTTTTTTTTTTATGTTAATTGAGATTGCTTTAGTATATTGTATATTTACTTTATAATTCCTTTCTCATTGAGAGTTGTTTCTTCTAAAGATGGAATTACTGGGGTCATTTTCTGGATTTTTTTGAATGGTTCATCCTGGGGTCGTTTTCTTGGATTGTTT